GAAAACAGTTTGAAAAGATGCAGCTGGCTGGATTCATGTGCTGTAGAGGAAGCATGTGTTAGCCTTTACCCTCGCCAGTTGGTAGCTGTCATATGATAGTATGATAGCAGATACAGTTGAGATCGCAAGTTTAAATTCGCCTTGCAGAATCTGCAAAATGTGAATAACTTCAAAAAAAAAAAGATGAATCATAAAAATTGTGCTTTATTTTTTATTTAGTTCTACCCTGAATGCGCTATTTCACATAACAGATGTTTACATATGATCCACAAGACACAATAACATCTGAATTTACACAAATGAACCAGTTCAAAAGTTTACACACGCTCGATTATTAATACCGCACGTCGTTACCTGGATGATCCACGACTGTGCTTATGTTCTGTGAGAGTTCTTCACGAGTCCCTTGTTTGTCCTGAGCAGTTAAACTGCCCGCTCTTCCTCAGAAAAATCCTCCAGGTCCTGCACATTCTTTACTCTACCAGCATCTTTTGCATATTTGAACTCTTTCCAATACGATGTTGAGATCTATCTTTTCACACTGAGGCCGTCTGAGGGACTCGTACACGACTATTACAAAAGGTGCAAACGTTCACTGATACTCGAGAAGGCGACACGATACATTAAGAGCCAGGTTGAGGGCTGTAAACTTTTGAGCAGGGCGATTGGTTTAAATGATACTTTTTTTCATTCAGTATGGAGATCAGAAGCTATATAAGATATTTACGTTATATGTTTCCCAGAAGACAAAATAATAAACGTATTACCTCAGCCGTAGCTGGCTGGTGGGAGGGATCTAGCAAGTGACTAAACTGGAGGGGAAATAAGGAAAAAGCCAAGAAACACGAAAGGCAGAATCCAACCCAATCCTAAATCTCTTCTTGACATTGTACTCATTTTGCGGACACGTTTGTCCAAAGCGACTTACATTTGGAACAGGAACAAACTGATCCGTTTTTATGGATTAAAAGTATTTGTATGCCACCACAGCGGCAATTAGCCAGTGCTGGTCGTATAACCCGTGACCTTCCAATTAACAGTCTGATAGCTTATCCGCTAAGCTACCGCTGCCCCGACTGCTTAAAACAACTGCTAAACTCTATGCTGTGAAATGCAGGTGGAAAATCAAGGCTCAACAGCAGCATATCATCACCCTCGAAATGAAAGCTAGAGCCCACATAACACACATACAGCGCAGCTCATTATATGTACCTTTTATCCACATCATTATCACACCATTACTCTGCACACATGTTGCGCAATGTCAAATAACATGTTTTGCACAGCAATTGCACGGCATTGATGTTCATAAATGGTCAACAAAGTCTACAGACATCAAAATGAACTCTAGTCCATTAGTGGTTTAATTATAGTTTACTATGAGCATTAGAAACAGGAACAGGCAGTGCATTGTCCCATTTCAAACAGTGTTTTTATTTAATATATTTCCCCATCCCTTCGGAAATTATTTCCTGGCTACGCCACAGGGGCGCAGGAGAACAGATTTTTTTTGAGCAGGGTTCACGTTGTTTTATTTTATTTTATTTTTTGCTGACCTCCTAATAAATCAGCATTTGATGTCTATATATGATGAACCTGCATTTATGAAAGTCACACTAGATTTTATCTGACGTTTTAATGCGAGAGAGAACGTGCACGGATGACTAACTCAATAAAGAGTTGAGATCAATCCCGTCTACCTGCAGATATAATTTGTGTGGATGTGCTTCGAAAAGCTCTCGAACTGAGTAAACTCAGAAAGCAATCACAGCTCTCCTGTCCGTACTCCCTAGCAATCAGGTTTTATGATTGTTATAGCAGGGACGTGCACATGCTGTAATGGGATTTGAGAGGATCACAAAGAGATGCTGAACAGACCTAAGCTTCTATTAAAATAATATGAATTGTTCATTTCAGACGGCGAGAGTGCATGGATTTTTATACAGGCAGTGAGTACAAAAATTACAAGCTGTATAAACATGGCACTCCAGGACTATGTAATCATTTAGATATGGAGATTGAGGAGCTGCGTGAAACACTGATTTATTTTGGAATCTAACTTCGAGCAAGACATCAACACAGTGAAGCATTTGAAGACTCCTTTGAAATATTTTTTTATTTAATTTTCTCACTAATAGTCAGCAGGCTTTGTTTTCCATGTATATCAGTCGACTACCGTTCTCAAATACGTGCGATCATACCAACATCCCATAACATATAAAACTATGCATACGGTGAACATGAAATGACACAGATTTAGACGTATTTCTCAATGAATAAACAAAGCGAAGCAGATAGCAAAACATTGCATTCGACAGATACTACAGCATCTTCCTACAAGATAATAAACGGCGCATTAGGTAAGATTAGATTAGCTAGATTTTCCTCCCAGGCTTAAGTCTCTAGAGATTAGGTGGGTTTGGCAGTTTAAATGATTACTGCCCATGTATACGAAGCTCCAGCCCTGGGATCTATGGTGGCCTGCAGAGTGTCTATAAAA